ATGCCCTCTTCCAGGGGATCTTCCCAAGCCAGGGATCAAACCCAGGCCTCCCACGTTGCAGGCAAATTCTTTACCGACTGAGCCACCAGGGAAGCCCAAGAATACTGGAGTGGATAGTGTATCCCTTCTCCAGGGGGTCTTCCTGACCCAGGAATCCAACTAGGGTCTTCGGTATTGCAGGCGGATTCTTTACCAGCTGAGCTACCAGGGAAGCCTGTGACATGCCTGTCAAGTGTCTATTCAATTTTTCTATTGTGTTGCTTTTAAAGAAATAATTCCTCTGTTTATAGTGTCTTTGAGGAATAGAAGTTTGTAACTACATACATTTATTTTGGATATTATCATTTATTGTATTCTTTACCTCTGTTCTCTTCATTATATTTTATCTCTGTTAAAATTTTCACTGTTCCTCCATTCTGTTCTTGAGTTCATTGAGCATCTTTATGATTATTACCTAACTCCCTATAGAGTAGATTGCTTATCTCCCCTTTGTTTAGTCCTGTTTCTGAGGTTTGGTCTTATTCCTTTCTTTGGAACATACTCCTTTGGAAGCACACTCCCCTCTAGTCACTGGAGCTGTTAATACATGCTTTAGGGTGTGACCCCTGTGTGGGCTGCACAGGTCCTCCTGTTTTGGTCAGGCCAGCTGCTGCTGGTGCACTAGGAGACAGAGCTGTCCCCAGACCAGTTGCTCGCCAGTCCTTCTCTCATGAGTAACTGCTGGTCTGCTGGTATGTGCGGTTGGGTTCTAAGCTGGCTAGCTATGAAGCTCAGGGTATTTCGGGACTGGAGGCGGTCTGCTCACAGGCAGGGCAGGATCCTGGTATGACTGGGCATCCCAGGGGGATAGGGTCTGGTTCTGGCCCACTAGTGGGTGGTAAGCCCCTGGCACTAATACGCTAGAGGAAGGACTCCACAGTAGTGCTGGCAAGCACCACTGTCCTCATGATAAAATGAGCTCCTAAAAAATGACTGCTGCCAGCATCTGTGTTTCCAGCAGAAATTCCATTTGCCTCCCACCTTTCTAGAAAGTTCTCCAAGATTAGCAAGTAGATCTGCCTCAGGCTTATTTGAAATTACTGCCTCTGTACTGGACCCATAGTGTGTGAAATTTCTCCTGACCCTTTTAAGAGCAGAGTGTCTGTTTTGTACAGCCCTCCGACTCTACTGTAGGGAAGCCCAGCTGGCCGGATGCTCTGGGGGCTTGTCTTCCCTTCTCAGTTAGTGCTGGCTCCCCAGGCTGGGGGGCCTGGTGTAGGGCTTGGGCACCTCACTCCTTGGGGAGAATTTTGTAATTGTGATTATTCTTCTGTTTATGGGTCACCCTCCTAGGTGTATGGGTATTAACTATGTTGCATCTCTGTCCCTCCTACTGCCTCATAGTTCCTTCTTTTTATTTTTAGTTGTAGAAATCTTTTCTGTTAGTCCTCAGGTTGTCCTCATAGATAGTTGCTCTGTAAATACGTGTAATTTGGGTATCCTTGTGAGAGGAGATGAGGTCAAAGTCACCCTATTCTGCCATCCTTGTGACACCCTCCTTAAGCTCTAGGCTGCTTTATTCTTTTGCCTTTTCTGTCTCCTCTGGGAATTACTGCTATTCCCTTGCTATCCTCGTAGATGTGAAGTTTTTGCCCAGCTGTATGTTCTGTAGTTTGTATTTGAATTTGTAGAGGTTTTGTTGTTTTAGAAGTATACATTTATATTACAATATTGTGTATTCTTTTAAAAACCATATATTGCTTTGTAATTTGGTGTAGTCACTTTGGATAACAGTATAGAAATTCCTTAGAAAACTAAAAATAGCTTTATCATATGATCCAGCAATCTTTAACTATATCCAGACAGAGCTATAATTCAACAATACTCATGTACCGCTATGTTCAAAGCAGCACTATTCACAATTGCCAAGACATGGAAACAGCCTAAATGTCCTTCAACAGATGAATGGATAAAGAAGACGTGGTACATGTGTAGAGTGGAATACTACTCAGCCATACAAAAGAATGAAATAATGCCATTTTCAACAACATGGATGCAACCAGAGATGATTATATTAAGTCAGAAAGAGAAAGACAGATTCCATATAATATCACTTATATGTGGAATCTAAAATGTGACACAGGGGAACCTATCTATGAAACAGAAACAGAATCATGGACATGGAGAACAGATTGGTGGTTGCCAAAGAGGAGGGAGTTAGGGGCGGAAAGGAGTGGGGGTTTGGGGGTAGCAGATGTAGGCTTTTATATATGGAATTGATAAGCAGCAAGGTCCTGCTGTATGACACAGAGAACTGTGTTCAGGATCCTATGATAAACCATGATGGAAAAGAATATTTAAAAAAAGAACATATATATGTATAACTGAATCACTTTGCTGTATAGCAGAAATTAACACAACATTGTAAAGCAACTATATTTTAATTAAAAATCCCATATACTTCCTGTCTTTTCCAAATCCCTTTCTCAAATTAAAATTTTGATTTTTTTTATTGTCAATCTTTTTGCCTCATGCCATAAATTTTGGAAAATTATTAGGCTACTTCTTTGTTTCAGTTTTTAGTATATCAGCATCAGTAAGGTATCTGATCTAAATTAGAAATGTTGACAAGTATTACCAGATAGCCATTTGAAACACGAAGAAATGTTAAATTCTTTTGGTCTTTTGATTACTTCCATTCATGTAAGATTTTTTTTTTTTTTAAGCACTGCTTACGTTCTTTCAGGTCAGCAAGGTGCCTTACAACCAGTGCGTTATTACTGAAGTTTTACTTATTTAGTTTATTATCCTATTACACTATTTAACTAAAAGGTTTGTTGGGCAGTGGAACATCCTAGTTTATTTATTTATTTTTTAATGAAACAACCTAGTTTAAAGTTAACTTTTATTTTCATGTCAAGAGCTGTGAAGGGTTTGAGATTTTATCCTACTCTTAAGCTAACAAGGGTCATAAGTTCTTACAGAAGACATAGTATTCCTGGGTCAGAGTCAAAGGATAGACAGTTACTTATAGCAACAGAAATAGCCAGAGCAGCAGAATTTGCACCAGCTTCTGGAGCCTCACTTTTCCCAGAGAAACACAAAGAAGACTGGGTGACATCTGAGTCTGTATGAGGTGGCGTTACAGGAAGAGAACCCTAAGTTTAGGGTTTTGTAATGGGCAGTAAGTATATCTGCCTTTTGCTTTGGAGGGAGGCATTCTATCTTCCTCTATATAAACATCCTTGAAAAGATAGTCTATAAGAGAGGCAGTTAATGCTGGAAAGATAAGTAGAAATTTGAGAGACATGAAGAAGAATTGTCTTTCAGGGACTTCCCTTGTGGTCCAGTGGCTAAGACTCTGCACTCCCAATACAAGAGACCTAAGTTCAATCCCTGATCAGAGAGTTAGATCCCACATGCTACAATTAAAGATACTGCATGCTGCAACTAAGACTGATGCAGGCAAATAAATTAATTTTTTAAAAAATAAATTACCTTTCAGTGTTTTTGGAAGGCAGAAAACCAAATGGGTGTTTATAATATAGACTTAAATAAGTGACTTACAGACTTTAGATTTCAGAGAATGGCCTGAGAAAATTTCCCTAGAAAATAATGATCTTTTTACATAATATCCTTGATTTCCTCTTTTGTAGCTTTTTTTCTAGTTAGCTATTATCTCAAAGACCTCCATGAACATTAGGCTCACAATGATAGTTTCCTTTGGAGAGATTACTATGGATCTGTTTTCTGAGTGGTGTCCTAGTTTTCACTGTTTTTCTTTAGTAGAAAGGAAAGATAGCCAAACTTTTGTTCGAGGGGATTTATGTTTGCCTTCCTTTCACCATTGCTTCTGTTTCAAAGTTCAAATAAATGAAAGCAAGTAAAATGACTATTATGGTATCATTGTAATTTGGCAAAATTCACTGAGGCATAACGTTTTAGACAAAAGACATTAAAAATGATAGAGCTAGCTAGTGTCCCAGGGCAAGTTCAGTTATTCAGACTGGATTTCCAAGAGGTCTCTGAGACTTAAATTCTTCAGAGTGGAACTTCATTTGTACTAGAACATAAATATAGCACTTCATTACAAAAGACCCTAAAGCAGAGAGCACAGGGGAACTTTGCTGCCCTCTAGACTAGAGGTTCTTGTCACCGATCAAAGGGCTTTAAATCTGGCAACTTAGATTTGTGGGGGATGAGTTCTGTCAGTGTTTAAACTCCAAGCAAATAACAAAAACAAGGAACATAATATATTTAACTTTTTAGGTCAGCATGATCTTTTTAAAATTATTTTGCATCCCTCTGACTTGGTTGATCATTTTTTAGCTTTGTGGCATTTTGCTCTCTATCTATTCTCTCTCTTGTCTTACACCATCATTTCTTTCTATGCTCCTCAAATGATCAACTTTCCTAAGATTGAAACTTAAGCCACCATTCTTCCATCCTGATCCCTCTCTAGTATCCCTTTTATAGGTCTCTTCTCCTCCTATAATATCAATTTCATATATATACATATAACTCTGAAGTTTGATTCTTTCTTGAATTCCAAAACCACATTTCCAACTGTCAGCTGAACATTTCCTTCACGATGTTCTGCCAGTACCTTACAAGATCTGTAACTCTGATTTGTATGTATTAGCAAAAAGGGCAGGGCAAAAAGTATGTTACTGTTTTAATATTCTCTTCAAAGAAATTTTCCAAACAAATTATTTTGACACACTTTATGTTCTTTTTTATGGATGGTGTTTTATAAATTTTATTTCACGTATGTAAAACATCAGGATCAGTTTGTCATATTTTCACTGCCAAAACTAAGCAGTTAGATTTTTGCCTTCATCCCCCATGTTATTCCACCTCCCTCTCCACCCTCCCACCGCTATACGTAAGCACACAAAATTTAAATGCTATAATATGCGTGAGGTTTGGGTTTTTCTTTGTTGCTACTGTTTCTGTTGGTAGTGGCTCAGTATATATTTATGAGGTAGAAGATAAAGCTTGTGTTACTTTCCTCTTTGCAGGTCTTCATGCCTTGCGGAGAGTCTTAAGGAAACAGCCTAACCTCCCTGACAGCAAGATGGCTGGATTGGTGAAGATCACTCTGAAAGATTTCTTGAAGGGGATGAATGACATCAGACCCAGTGCCATGAGGGAGGTAGCAGTCGATGTCCCAAATGTAAGTCATTTGACCCTCATGCTCGCCACACTGTTTGACTTAAACTGTGAAAGAAACTAAGACCCCAAGGAAACTACCTTCCTAAGCTAACCATTAAAAAAATTTTTTAATCACAATTTTTATGGAGATAACTGTAGATTCAGTACAGTTCTAAGAACTACTTTAGGGAACTCCTGTGTAGCCTTTACCCAATTTCCCTCAATGGTAGCATCTTGCAAACTATAGTACAATATCATAAGCAGGATATTAATAGAATCATGGATCTTTTCCAGGTTTGCTCAGTGTTTCTTCTACTCATTTATGTGTATGTGTGTTTAGTTCTGTGCAGTTTTATTACATGTGAAGGTTTGTGTGTTTATCTCCAGAATCAAGATCCTGGGGAGTTCTGTCACCACAAGAATCCCTTGCTTTGCCTTTTCATAATCATACCCACCTTGTTCCTGCATCCATTTCTAAAATTCTGTCATTTCACAAATGTTAATATAAATGGAATTATACAGTATGCAGCTGTTTGGGATCAGTTTTTTTCACTTAGTATAATTCCCTGGAGATTCATCAAGTTGTTATATATCAATAGTTTGTTCGTGTTTTGTGCTGAGTAGTATTGCATGATACATGTGTACAGTACTTTGTTTAACCATTCACCAGTTGAGGTACATCTGCATTGTTTCCAGTTTGGGGCTATGTGAAGCTGCTGTGAACATTTTTCTGCAGGTATTGTGTAAATATAAGTTTTCATCTTTCTGGAACAAATCCCCAACAGTACAGTTACTGGGTTGTATACTAATTTCATGTTCACTTTTATAAGAAAATGTCAACTAGGCTAATTTTAGAACAACAAAAAATATCTTCTAGTTATGATACTTTCTACTAATGATGCTTGATGTTTCCTTGGGTTTCTTTACACATGCTTCAGCATTGACCATTTCTGCAAACTTTCAGTCAGATCACCACGAAGGCAGTAGAAGTTACCTCTTATTGCGTGAACCACCTGTTATGTTATCCATGACACACATGGGCCTGATATTTGAGGGGGAAATGGCCTTATAGTTTTCTTTGAATGTACTAATATTTTGAGGAAATACTGAAACAAGCATTGGCAGTGTCTTCTGTATTATGTCAATGTGTATTTGGTTTGAAGTATCAAAAGAAGGCTATGATTTAAACTTATTTCACCATGGACCTTGTGGAGCAGAGACTTTCTGCATTTTGCAATGTAGATTGCAAAAAATGACCGCAAATTCTTCCCATCACTGTGTTTGCCCATTTTTACTGCACCCTGAAGTTTCTGCTGTAAAGACAAGGGAGTCAAGTTTTCTGTCCTTGAATCTGCACTTGGCAGTGTAACTTGCTTTGGCCAGTAGACTATTAGCAGCCATAATACAAGCAGGCTTGGAAGTGCGTAGAGCTTGTCTTCACTTGCTGGTCTTAGACCCTGCATTAACTTTCTTAAATCTGTAGTAACTTCCTGGAGGATGAGAGACTCTGTAGAGCAGAGATGAAATATCCTCATTCTGGCTGAGATCCCCTCATTCTAGTCATCACCAGTTGTTAGACATGTGATGCCATGCTAGACTATTGTACCCAGTTGAAGTTTGCCCCAACCAGAAGAAACCACCCAGTTAACACTCAGAATTGTCAAAAATAATTGTTTTGAGCCACTAAATTTTATGGTAGTTAGCAAAGGCTAAGTGAAGCAGGCACTTTGATTTTTATAGAACACATATGTTTTCAGGCTAGGAAATGGTTCCTTGGAGATAAGAACATTCCCATGAACTAGCTGCTATCAGGTTGATGCAAAAGTAATTGCGGTTTTTGTATTGATGAACTTTGCAGTTTGATATTGGAATACATTCTTTAAATGTGGTTATGTTATACATCATTTTAATGCACATTTCTTAATTTTTTTTGCTAATGAGTTATTACTTGCTGTTTATTTCATATTTATTTTAGACTATGGAAGTGATGTTAGACAGAAAGCAAATTCCAGCAATTCTCTTATTCGAGTTCAACATGTGTCGTATAATAGCGGAAGCAACTCGCACCGTCAGCAATGCATTTGGCCCAGGAATTGCTAATGACCGTACAGTGCCGCAGTGGTTGAAGAAAATTTGCAAAGGAGACAAGAGCCTTGAAAATGAGGAGCATAGTGGTCAGCCATCAGGAATCACAATGACAAGTGAGAAACATTGTCAAAGCTGACCCTCTTACAGCTATGTAGGACGTTGCCAAAGAACTCAACATCATCCATTCTACAGTTGTTTGGCATTTCAGGCAAATTGGAAAGGTGAAACGTTCGATAAGTGGGTGCCTCATGAGCTGACTGAAAGTCAAAAAGATTGTTGTTTTGAAGTGTCGTCTACTTTTATCCTATGCAGCAACAACAGTGAACCATTTCTCAATTGCATCGTGAAGTGCAATGAAAAGTAGATTTTATATGACAGCCAGCAACGACCAGCTCAGTGGTTGGACCAAGAAGAAGCTCCAATGCCAAACTTGCACCTAAAAAAGGTCATGGTCACTGTTTGATGGTCTGCTGCCTGTTTGATCGACTACAGCTTTCTGAACTGTGGTAAAACCATTACACTGGAGAAGTATTCTCACCAAATGGATGATGTATGCCAAAAGCTGCAATGCCTGCAGCCGGTATGGGTCAACAGAAAGGGTGCAATTCTTCTCCACTACAACGCCTGACTGCATGTCAGAGAACCAGTGCTTCAAAAGTTGAATGAATTGCCCTACAAAGTTTTGCCTACTCCACCATATATTCACCTGCTCTCTCGCCAACTGACTGCTTCTTCAAGCATCTCTGCAACTTTTTGCAGGGAAATGTTTTCCAAGAGTTCATTGAATCTCAAAGCATGGAGTTTTACACTACAGAAACAAACAAACTTAATAATATATTTCTCATTGGCAAAAATGTGTTGATGGTAATGGTTCCTATTTTGATTAATGGAGATGTGTTTGAGCCTAGTTATAAATGATTTTAATATTCATGGTCTGAAACCGCAATTACATTTGCACCAACTAATAGTTTAGGCTGCCTAATGTGATTGTGAATTCTTTTTGAAACATTTTCAGATTTATTATTGAAAGCTCATCTTTGGGTTTTTTTTTCAGAAGCTTCATAGGATATACTAATTGAGTATGAATAATTTGACAAATGGAGTTATAGAATAAAGAATACTTGATGTTGAGTTAGTAGAAGCATTTCATTTCTTTGGAACTTATGGTCTAAAGTTTGGGGACATCGATTGATATGAATGCTTTTGTTTGCAATATTTATATTTTATTGGTTACCATTGCATAATATGTCAGGTAGATGCCTAATCATCAAACACCATGTGTGAAAATTTCAGGAGATAGGGTTATAACCAACTATACCATCCCAAGACATTTTAGTGATTAAAAAAGTTTAGAAACTAAAGAAACATGTAGTAGGCTTTTAAACTTAGTTACTGCCAGTGGAGAATGTTTAAACAATGGCTGTCCACTCTTAGAATTGCTGAACTGATTAATTCATCACAGGAACTAGTACTACAACTGCATTTTTAATTGCTCTAATGTAAGAATTTTTTCCTTTATTTTCTTTTGATACAGTATTTACAATCCATGGATTTGTGCCATTTTCCATTTGGCATTTTATTACTTGGCCTAGAGCCATGGTGTACTATGATGTTACTCATGCGCTCCAGAGTGATTAGCCTTGGTCAGGGTACTTTGTTACATTGTTTTTCATGCTCACTTCAGATTGTAAAAGTTTTCCTGAGAAGTCAACATTTCTATAACTGGATTCCTAAATTTGACTCTTCTGATTTCTGGCTATTACACCAACAGAAATATCTACAAGTTATTTCTGCAGAAAGTTTAATACTTATTTTGCTATAGAAAACCTGTTTTGTTTTGTTTTTTTTTAAGAAAACCCGTTTTAAGTAGCTCATTAACTGCAAACTTTTTTTAAATAATAAATTGAGTATTCAGCATCTTTTGAGAAAAGATTTTAGTTTGTGAAATCAAACCTTCTAAATCATACTTGCTAAAGTTTGAAAGAAATGTCTTAAGGTGGCAATGTTGCCAGTTATAATGCATTATTAATTTCAGGAGAGCACAAGTGTTAGCCACTTACTTTAATGTTTCCTTTTTTTGGATATGCTGAGTTGGTGACTATAGCAATTGATGTATTAAAAGTCAAATGTATTTTACATTTAATTGATGATAAATGTCAAGTATATTTCTTTACTGTAGGGATTCTTAGAATCTTTGAATATTGCTAATATGCATTGTGAGATTTCAGTTTTTCACACAGATAACTGTTAATACTGTATTATAGTAGATTTTTTAGAAATTTATAGATACTTTTCTGTACATAGATTCTTTACCATCTGAGCCACCAGGGAAGAAGCCCTCTAACATAGTTAATATAAAATATAATATTTATATTCTGCTTTTTTCACCTAAAGTTATATGATAAACATTTTACTCTAAACTTCTGGACAAACATCTTTTTTGTTGACAGCTTAATAAACTATTATGTTGATAAACTGTAATTGTTTTATTTTTCTTTTTTTCTCAAATATTAAGGGTTTTTTTCTGTTTTTTTCTCTTATGTTTTATAAGCATATTTGTCCATTTTTTGATTCCCAGAAGTAGAATTACCAGACTTAAATATATGGTTTTTAAAGTTTGTGACAAATATCATTAAGTTCTTTTTTTCCCCAGACTGTTCTGATTTTTAATTATGTAATAACATATGTAAAATTATGAAGTGCTTAAGGAAAATCTCATTTTCACTTTAGTTCTTTTTTTTTTTACTTTCCACTAGTAGTGTTTTTTGACTGAAAAGTTCTTTTGCAAGGAATAATACTGGATAAGTTTTAGATGAATAGAGATTTTAAAAAGAGTGAAAAATATCTGTCAGTTGTATATCTTCTCCTTCCTATAAAACCATTAAAAAGTTTTAGATACAGGGTATACGTGGATGGTTTTTTAATGGATTTTAA